ACTAAAGACGACAAGTTTCTAATAATGGTTAAAGTATTGAAAATGAGTGTACCAATATCTACATGTATATCTATTATCTAAAGATTATCTGAAGTAAAATAACTTTTTATTGCTATTCAGCTTAAAGATTATGAAGCTTAATTATTAGCAAATAATTTTAACTAATTATTAAATAATAGTATTTTTATTTAAAGGATATTGAATATAGACAGAATATATAGATATTGAATATAGATAGACATAGACAGAATATAAAGAAGTAATATATATAATAATATATACATTTGAAGATTATCTGAAGTAAAATAACTTTTCATTGCTATTCAGCTTAAAGATTATGTTAATGAATTATTTTAATGTGTATAAAATATATAGCAAATAATTTTAACTAATTATTAAATAATAATAGTATTTTTATTTAAAGGATATTGAATATGTACAGAATATAGAAAGAGCAGACCTAGATTACGTGCCAATAATATATAAAGAAAAAAACCATAACAAAAGAGTAACTCTAGAGAGCATCCACATACTAAAAAACATAGTCAGTACCATGAATAGGAAAGAGGATAGTAACAATATCAGCAACAGTTACCTGCTACTACTGCAATCTTGATTATATAATCTTTATTGTTTATATATTGCATAGTATTTAATTTATTTCTTACTATTTAGAACTAAATTTGTAAACAGATTCCAGTATAAAAAGTTACTTTATATGTTCCTAACAGCAGTTGCAAGAATACTCCGATCTGAGGAAGAAGTCCAATAAACTTCAAAACCTCTGCGATATTTATATAGAGGACTGACTACATAAAAATAAAAATTGACTTACAAAATTTTATTTTATTCACATAAGCGTTTTTGAAGAAACAGAAACATTTGAAATACTTAAACATAAAATTTTAATATTAACTACTGGTTGTTCTCTAACGTAATCCAAGACTCAAACTTATTATTATTTTTAATTAGATTCATCACGAACTACATTATCTATGGTTCTGAATCACTAAAATGACCATATTATTTCAGTCTCAAGCTGGTTTGAATTTAAACTCATCTACGTTGTTAATCTACCATGCTCTTAGCTCAAGGCTTTGAACTAGGCAGGGTCAAAAGTACAACTCTTGGTTTGAATTTAAACTCATCTATGTTATTGATCTGCCATGCTCTTAGCTCAAGGCTTTAAACTACGCAGGGTCAAAGTACAACTCTTGGTTTGAATTTAAACCCATCTATGTTATTGATCTGTCATGCTCTTAGCTCAAGGCTTTAAACTATGCAGGGTTAAAGTACAACCCTTGGTTTGAATTTAAACCCATCTACGTTCTTAATCTGTCATGCTCCTAGCTCAAGGTTTTACACTACGCAAGGTTAAAGTACAACCCTTGGCACTTGTAGATTATACATTATAAATGCATAAATAGATCCAAAAAATTTATCATAAGACATAATTGGTAATTGATATTTGGCATTATCCAAATGGCTGTATGGGCAGTTAAAAAACGAATTTAATTAAAAATAAAATTGTGCTGTAATTCATTACTATTTTCACCTTAGTTCGGAGAAACAATTATAGATCAACTACTAAAAGTGACAATTTAAATGATAATATAACTCTTATAATCCTTTATAAATATTTATATTCCATTCAATGACAGATATCAATAGATATTGGTACACGATAAAAAACAAAATTTCGCTATATATGTTAACAGAAACTGAGCATTTCATTAAGTTAACTATCTGATTTAAATAACATTGAAAGGTACAATAGAAAGTATCACACTCGGAAATATTCATAATAGAGAGGTACACTTAGTTAAATACATTAAAATAAGACCAAAAAAACAGAAAACCTTAAATTTTGTATTATGTTAGATTATTAAATAACAGTTCACAAATATTAATATATATGTATATATAATTAAAATCGCCATTAAGCTTATAAAGCAAATTCTTTTTTCTTATTTTCATATAATAACAACATTCGATATGCCATATTCAATTTTTTTCTCAGGTTTCTTGACTAACCACTCGAGTCGGAATGAATTTACTTGAAATAGGATATGTAACTTCCACATTATTTACTAATTGCATTTTTAACTAAATTTTTTTCTGGTTTGCAAAGGAGTTCTATTTGAAAAAAATAAATGATTAAATAAAATTGCAATTAAATATATTTTTTTTTATTAAAATTTTATGCGATTACGTGGGGATTACGTTTGACGTAGGAATTTTTTTTCTTCTGGATTATGCATTGTAGTTTAGGTTGAATTGAAACCTATTATGAATTTTCAGTATATCTTATAAAATTATTTAATTAAATTTTTACAGTCTTTCTTGACCAAATATTCATATTTTACAAAGAATTTTTCGTAGGTAAAACAAAAAATAACACAAAAATTATTTAAATAGAAGAAATACATCTGTAAAATTTTCAATACGATATTTTTGTGCAAATCCATTTAAAAATAATATTATTGTCACAGTTTTTGTGTATACTTATTATAATATATAATAAATAATAACTATTTTCTATATAATAAAATTTGATCAAATAAATAATTTCATATATTATAAATCAGTTTTTCGGTGGCTAAAAATATTTATATATATATATTGTCTGTATATTTTTGTTACCAAATATTATTGTCGTAATTTGTTTATTTACAAAGTTTCTTTATTTAAATAATTACGTATAATATGGCATTATATATTTTTGTATATAAGATCTGACAGTTTATATGCTCGAGTTAACTTCTTATTTTGATACTGGACCACAGAAGCATTCAACAATATTGAGAAAGTAAATATTTGCATTTATTTGACATAGTCCCCGGAGGGTCTTAAAAGACTAAAGCCACCTTCGAATTCAACCAATGTCGAAAAGACCGATTATAAAATGTCTTACAGTGGAAACTAAATTTATTTCTTTGTCGGCCCATAAGAGCTGTAAAGCAATCTTAGAAGTTTTTCAGGAGTCCTATCTAATATTCACAGAAATAACTATACAATATATAGATACCTACTGAAAAGAAAATTTTTACACAAATACTTTGTTAGTGCTTTATCTTAATGGCAATATGAAAAATGAAACTCCTAATCCCAATAATTCAGAAATCCCAATGGCCGTGATGGAAGTATATAGACACTGAACAATTCTTATTAGTTGATCACTTTATTAAGAAATATTCTAGGTATTCAATAATTCTAAATACGAATCCAATTCCTAATATAATTATATTCATATGGTAGTGCTATAAAATCAATGTGGTTGTAAACTCTTGAAAAGATCTAAGGAGCAGGATCTATTATAGTAGGCAAAACGAATCTAGAAACACAATAGCGTGTTTCTGTCACAGATAAAAGTAACTAATACTAGGTAAAACTACTGCATTTGTACGAGTTTTGACTAATAATAATCAACATAACTAATATCTATATGTATTCTTTCAAACATATTTTAAATAATTATATATATAAATTGAGTATGAATTGGAAATAAATTGGATGTATATAAATATTAGAGACTAGAAAATTGTTATCGCTGTTATAGAGAGAAAAATGAGCTTCTTGTCGCTACTTTCCGCTAGAAAATCAGTTTATATCTTTTAATGTAAACAATATAGATTATTTCTGTAAGCCAGTAGAAATCGAAGTAATAAAACTTGAACCGTGTTGTCAGATCTTATCAATATATGTATATGATTATACTAAAAGTCATTGTGAACTTTTCTAACCTAACTACGTATGTTTAAATGTGTGCGTAATTAACTCTTAAATTATAATTCCCATATATTAAAATTGCTTTTGTATTATATTAGGCTTACTCTTCTTCTTCTAAAGACTTTTCAGGTAGTCCATACTTAGGGCAACACATTCCTTCAGTACCATCCATATTAAAACAGAATAGTGAACGTTCTATATCTGTTGGTTCATGCGGTACAATACCATGTACTTCCTTTAATTCAGCTTCAGGGAACCAAGCTGGATCAGTATCTTCAACAACTTTTATGCCACATAACCTACAAATACAGTAATACATTACTTATAAAGAAAATAACAAAAATCATTTAAACATCTGAAAAACCTTCAGGTGTATACTTTACCTGAGTATTGCCACAATTGGTATCCATAAAATAGATGATAGAATCAATATAAATGCAATGACAATACACCAATGAGGCCATTCCATTTTCTCTGTCATGCCCTTTGAAGCAATCCAAGCTGGATAACTGCTGCCTTCGGTTAATAATTGATAAAATGATGCTATTAATATTGTAATCATAGCACATGGTGAAAGATATTTCCAACAGAACATCCAAAATATGCCTGGTCTGGAACCAGTCATCATTTCAATATCATCCGAGAATCTAAAATAATGATATATGTAATTAATTTACTTATAAAACATAATTATTTAAATAAGTACCGTCTAATGCCATAGATATAACTAATTGATAAACACTCAAACAATGCAATAATTAGTAGTGGAAAGTTGCCAGCAAAACTGTCCATCAATTGAAATATGTAACTGCCAGCGCCATTGGCAAAACACATTGACATTATGAAACAGGACAAACAAAGTGCCTGCAATAACAAATTAATTAATATAATTCATTCTATTAAATATATTGAGTAAATGTACTTACACCCACTATCCATTCTTTTGGCAAATTAGGAAATAGTTTCATATCAACTAATGAAGTCACAACGCCTTCTAAGGTGCCAAATTGTGAATCAATGCCAAGAGTGAAAAGCATTAAAAAGAAGAGAACAGCCCATATTTGTGCACCAGGAAATTGATTTATTGCCTCTGTAAATATAATAAATGCTAGACCAGTACCAGAGGCGCTCTATATTTAGAATGCAAGAAAAAATATAAATTTAAAGTTAATTTTTTGCATATGTATATATATTATATAGTATATATGACTTACATTAGCCAATTCCTTCTGCAAGTCGCATACGGGCAACATTGATGTTTTATTTTGTGATATCAAACTTGCACGTTCCTCATTACATCGATCGAATGTTGCTGTAGCTTTAAAACCAATCACTGAGAATACAACTACTCCGGCAAACATGGAAGTACCGCAATTAGTCAGAGACACCAATATAGCATCACGATAACAGTTATTGTTTGCAGGATTGTACGAACTAAACGCTATCAAACCACCAAAAGCTAAGCCTAAGGAGAAGAATATTTGCGTTCCTGCTTCTAGCCAAACTACAGGATCCTGCAATGTTTCCCAACGTGGTGTGAATAAATGTGCTACACCATCAGCGGCACCTATTGGGGCGGAGAACATTTTAAATTAGATTCATTTGTTATAATCATTTATAAGTACAATAACGAAATGTTTTTTTATTTCAGTTTTATATAGATTTACTGAAGAATTTAAATTATTGTGTTAACTATTATCCCCATCAAATGACATAGTTCGTTAATGGATTGATATAGTTATACGTGTGTAGGTCTGTTTTTAACTCCTTTAGCGAAATTTCGGTTTGAAACACCGACGTATTTTTTTTCGGGAGTAGAAGAAATTCACATGGGTCCATGTCAGATGGATACTACGCTCACTTGATAAGGTACAAAATATGGTATTAATATATGTTCTTTATTTTTTTTTATTTGCTATGTCTCTGTCTAGCACTAGAAGGTCACTTCTTCGTTAGTCAACCAAATATAGTAAAAGTAAAAAATAGTATTTATATACTTTTTATATTTTTTTCATTCAATTTTTGTATCTCTGTCTAGGACTAGAAGACCACTTCTTCATTCGCCTAACAAAGATAAAAGTAAAAGTCTTCTTCACTTCAACTAATATATGAACCCAATATACTGCATATATTTTTGATCAACAAGATGAAACGTTGAATAAAATTAGTTCATATAGCTGCCAATCTATCCGGCTATTAGTTTATTTGTGTTTCAATACACAAACCACTTCAATTTAAAAAAAATTCAAAGAATACTGTCCAAAATTCTTCCCACTTTCATCAATGCTGATTGCAATTGCCGATCACTGTCAATTGGTCTCCATTTGGGTGACATACACCGAGAACCCTAACATCGTTACCGGGAACCCTAAAATCGTTACAGTAGTCATTCAAAAATGTAATATAAAGCTTTTGAACTGTTTATTAACATATACATATCTAGCCATGGGAGACATACTAACCGTAGAAACTAAACAATTAAACATATTGGAGCGCTACACAGCTACAAAGCTATCAAGCAGATAGTTAAATATAACTTTATATAATCTTAGATATTGATTAAAATTTTCTTGCGAATTGTTTAAAAAAAAGATTTATTCTGACAGTTGTAAATTATATAGAATCAAAAAAATTTTAATTTAATCGAAGGAAATTTTGAACGGGGATTAAGTAAATCTAGCCAAATATAGTCGACAAATAAATGAAATTAATTGACAAGATTCAAGTACTCACTATACAACGTCACTGCTAAAAGTAACTCATAATTTTAGATATGGATATACATTAGATTGATAAAAAAAAAATCTAAACAGTATAGTTTTATAGTACAACTATCTATGTCGTGAATATTAACGTTCTGAAGAAGTCAAAGCTAATTTTCTTCTTGGTTCATTATCAAAATCGATTGCAATACACGATAAGGAGTTATTTATTATGCCTTTTTTTTCATAATAAAAACTATTAAACTGCAAATAAATGACGCCCTTAGTCAAAATATTTATCAAAGTAAATATCAGCTTACATGTGTACATAAACTTAATAATACTAACGATTGTCACATAATTAAAAAACGATCAATTGAATCCATTCATAATGAATTCGACATTAACTATTTGACTATTTACCATATGCGTATGTTTTCCGATGATTAATAGTTGTTTTATTGTTCCATCTGTCTTTGGGTACTTAACTATTTCATATTATGGAATTTATTTACTTTTGTTCTTCATACATATTGACTACATTTTGAAGTTACAGTGAGTTAAAGAATTTGTGGTATAGACTTATAAGGTAGTATAGTATAGATGATGAAAGTAATTGTAATAACTTTTTTTTTTCTATTATAAATAACTGAAATATGATAATTTCGAACTAAATTTACTTGTTGAAGAAAGAGTATAAATATTTTAATGAATATATTAAAATGTATCTGGAACTTATGGGTTCTTCGAGCATTTACTATTAAATCAATATAGTAAGTGGAGTATAAGATATTCTCAAACAGTAAACTCAACGGTTTTTGTCACATTTTTGTTTATTAGTATGGATGATTTTTAATCAGCTGTTTGATTTATAAAATAACCTCACACAATACGACTTCAACAAATGACTAAATTGAAATAGCTTAGATGATTTATAACTGGCTTGCTACATTGATAAATTAAAGTCATACACCAATCTTTGAACTGAAATGACTAAATGGAAATACCTACCTCAGACATATCATAAATAATTTAACTTTATAGTGGCAGAGATAATAGGCTATTCATTTATTTTTGCTATAAATATCAATCTACAAAATCTGTAAGAATATATATGCCTTCTAATTCTCCTACATCCGTACTCCGAGTGGGTATCTTTTTGAATCGGTGATCCAAAAGATACCCACTTAAGCCTATTGGCTCGTTGTGCTACCGTATAATGGAAAAATCCAGAGCTTAAAACCACGTGAAATCTTTGGCGAAGTTTAAAATGCTATTAGGTGGAAAGTTTTGAAGTTGATCACGAACCTCAAAGAAGGGGGCCCCTAAAGTAGAGTCACCACCGTGCATAAGCTGAGTAAAAACAAAGCAGATGAGAAGCCTTTTCTTTGTCATCCAGCTGCGACAGATATAATTGAAGGGAAGATTCAATCTTCTAGTGTGTTTGCCTAATCTACAATGAACTGTATATAAATCCACCACAAGACTGATATCGCTAAGTCGAATCTCAATGAAAGAATTTGTTCCGTAATAGTTTGCATGTAGTCCTGTCCTGGTCCACCTCTTCTGGGTAGATCGTCCGCTTCACAATTGTCGAAAATATCCTTATTTAACGTGAACTCAGATTAGAGAAATATTGAACTGCGTCGACATCTCATTTAGAGATGTGTTGCAATCAAAAACTGTCCTAGATGTAAACTCTACTGAACCCATGGACTTAAAAGCACCTTAACTGTCTGATAGTATGATTATTATAAGAACTTAAAAAACTTTTCTATACTCTTTTTTATATAGTAATGCTTTCTTAATATTGAGTCTAAATTGTTCTCAATAGTTATGAAGTTAGACATAAATAATATCACTATTTGTTTTAATTTGGCAGAACACACTGTGCATTACGAGTAATTTTTCACACCCACTGTAATTAATTCTAAAGGAATTTATTGAACTGAAATCAATTAAAACTTTTAAATAAAAAAATTTTTACCTTTAAGTGTAATGCCTCGAAAGAAGAAAATAATCAGCACTACATACGGAAATATGGCTGTCATGTACACAATCTTTCCTGATGATGTGATGCCTTGAACCATGCATATGTAGACAAGAAACCATGACACTAACAATCCAATGCCCATGTGGTAGTTAAAACCTTCCGGTTCATTTACGCTTTCCGAACATTGTAGGGTTGTGCGATACCAATAAAATTGCGTAGGTGATGAAGCCTGTGAAGGGAAATTAAAGTGTATGAATATTTGGATTTCGACATGTAATGCTATGATGTGAACGATTGTGTGATGGCAATTAAGGTTTATCATTAATGCAAATTGTTAGTGTGATTGATGGAGTATATCAAGCATATCATTTCCATTAAGTATGTATAGAGTGTCTATAAAATGTGATTTTTATCAAGTAATCGAAGCGTAATTCATATACGCAACTATTTTCGCAGCTGTTGTCGGCAGTTGGTATTCGAATTACATTCTCTGTTTTTATTAAATTTTAATTCTCACAAATAAACAATAAAAAAAATTCACTTGAAACGTGTCCATGCGGTTAGAAACAGTAAAATCCATGCGGCCATTGGCGAAAAGGCCTTGTAACTTTGTAAAATGGATTCATAATTGGCACCAGTTGTGCATTGTCAGATTTAACGGATTCCGTGTTCGTTGTGTGATAGTGTTTTTGTTAACAAAGGGATTAAAATCGAAGTCAAAAGATTAAATTGAATGAATAATCACAAGAATTTCTTTTTTGACAATCATTTTATTTGAACGGTACTGTAAAGAATTTCAAAATAATTGGAGAAAGCTGAAAACGTTGAAAAAACAAAGTATGGAAAACGCATTTACAAAGTATCAATAGTCCTAAAAACCAATAGATCACGCTTTAATAGCTTCATTATTTCGACACTAAACAATAATAGACTTCAATTTCTCAATACATATCCTTATAACCCTAAACTCATAAGTGTTGCTCAGCGTAAGTTTATCAGTTTATCAGAACTGCCAAGAAATCTGTTTTTTCGTGGTAGCAGAACTCAATTTCAATTTAAGGACTAGTGGCTTACAATTCTTCTGAAACAAGTTCTGAAACAATCTATGAATGAAATATTACTAACTTATCAAATCTTGTTTAAGTTTATCCTTTTTCTCTTAACTACAATAACTTCACATTAAAATTTACTACCAAGTAAGAATTTCAAGAAAGTGTTTTCATGAGTATCTGGACATAGATACTACTTGATTCTTGATTTTAATGTGAGGTTGACATATTAACGAAAAAATAGCAAACTAAAGAAAATTTAATAAATTAATAATATTTTATTCACAAATAGTTTTAGGACTTCTGCAGAAAATTGGTCAGTAGATATATAATGATATGACCTATATACCTTGTGATCAAAAAAGAACGAGAATATAACGTGAGATTAGTTTTTGATTGGCGTTAAACTTTGACAGAATGTGTATAATAGTGTTACCAGCGTGAAAATAAAAAAAAATTACCGATTGGATAAGCGCGGGAATTCAAAAAATTAAAATTCTTGTTCTTTTTTGATCACAATATATATATGTTATACATATATATGTTAATACACGGTTATGTTATGCAGAGTATAGAGATAGACAAAACAGACCACCTCTTTCTCCATATATCAAAGTTTTTTAAATATAGATGTTTATATATTTATAATTGGGTCTTATTCTATAGACTTATTCGTCGGTTTATCAAAGAAACAGTGATTTTTTAGAAGTTCCCAGATTCATTTGGGAGCACTGTAAGCAGTTTTCTTTATGAAATATTAATCTTTTTTAGATTAATGAAAAAAAAAATTGAGTTAGATATCATACTATATTAACGAAAGATGCATTTAATAATTGAAAATTATAGAACGTATTAAGACCTATGTCTAGAAATTCACTTGTTATGAGCTTTCAGAAAATTTTAATAATTTGAAAAAATGTGTTTGATTAAACAGTCATCATGTGTTAATAAATCAGCCTATCAATAAATATAGTTCTTCGATTCTCCCGCAAAAGGAATCTTCACCCACTTAAGACCCTCGCATTGTAAAGTTCTACAATTTATTCCCAAACGATTGTAGCCTCCGAAAATTTGAATTTGATTTGATTTCTTTGGTTTTTTTCTTTGTTTCTTTAATTTTTTTGCAAGTTTTTCTAATCAAAATTTATTTATTTAAGTGTTCTTTACTGTTTCTATAATGTTTACAAATTATTGTTCAGACAGTTTCTTTCATATGCTTACCACACATTCTGGCTCATGATCATAAGTATAATTGGAGTATAGACGTGTGGGACAATCGGCCCAAGGTAAAGGTGATTCAAAGCTATGCAATAAATAGATGAGACACCAAGCAATTATAGTGTTATAATACAAAGCTACTATATAGCTAACCACAGCCGAGGAGATGCCTATGCCACCCAAGTAAGGTGAAACCTATATACAAATAAAGTTTTAAATTAATTTCAATAATATAAATGATAATAAGTTAAAAATAGCTTACTTGACTCCAAACGCCTATAGCGCCTTTTCGCAGACGTTGTCCAATCGCCAATTCTAAATAAAATATTGGTATACCCTGTATGCAAAGCATAATAAAGTAAGGTACCAAGAAGGCACCACCGCCATTTTTTTGTGCCAAGTAAGGGAAACGCCATACATTACCTAATCCAACAGCGTAACTACAAGTGACAAGTGGTTAAAATATATTAAAAATATTAAAAATAATGGACTTAAATAATTTTATTAACATATAAAGGAAATTTTAATTTTAATATAACAATTAATTGCAGTTAAAGGCGTCACTTTAAGCCGCTTATTTTTTATTTAAAAAAAAAATCTTCTATGCCTCTATACTTTCTATACTACACGACACATCATGATGTTGCTTTTTTGATTCACTTCCTGTCACTGAGCACACTTCCTGTCAAGTGCACGCACAAGCACTTTGCCAATTAAACTGTTCCTCATCTTCAACATCAGCAAAAATTGAATTTTTTTTTCTACTTTCACTCTCACGACTTCTTTTTCCCACTTTCACGTCTATTTTTTTCATTCTTGAATTAACATTTTCGTTTTTTTTTTCTTTATGTTTCGCTGTTAAGCACCACTTACCCAATTGTTGCCAATAAAAACATTATTTTGCTATCCCAACTTTCGCGTTCCTCTCCCTCCTTCTCAGCCACAATGTCCTCATCCTCCACTGTAGCCTTGACGGCGGCAACCAACTCGGCCTTCGCTTTACTTGTGCTCGCCTCAGACCCAAACGTTTCGGCTTCAATTTCGGAGGACTCATCGAAAGTGTCTGAAATAAAAGCCTGATTTGTTGCGCCGTAAATGGGCTGATGATGATGTTGATGATGATGATGGCCATGATGACTACTGCTGCTATGCTCTTTTGGTACCAGACGACCACGCAATTCCTATTGTTTTCGAATTATTCAAGAAAATAATTTATTTAAAGTTTTGTCCTTTCTTGGATTACGACTTCGTACGGATTTAATTTATGGATTTTTAGTGCCTTACCCGTAATTCCAATTGATCGATGCTCTTTTGACTCTTTAAGACGATATCACGGGAGCTCTGACGGCGTAAAAGCTGTGCTGTATTCGCCATTTTGTTTTATTTATTTTTTTTGTTTTTTAATTATTTATATGGAAATATTGTTAATTTTTAGAGGAAGGAATTTTGTTTAAATTTTGTTTTAATTGTGTTTTCTAAAATATATTTTTTTTTTTACTCTCTAAAACAATTACTATTACTTCCGTGTTTTACGAGTTTTGTTAAAAGGTGCAATTACGTGTAACACTTTTTGTTATATTTTGTGCAACATTTTATTTCATTTGCAACTTTATTTTAAATAATTAATATATATGTATTTTTATTTTATTGGTTTGTTCTAAAGTTTTTTTATTTTAGTTAATTGTGCAGTTTTTAGTATAAGTGCTTCTTCGGCCATTTTCTCTACAAATATAATTGTGCTTAATTTGAGTAATAAATATTACTTCATCATACAAAAAATATCAGGCAGTCTAGGTAAAACATATATATAATATAAAAAATTTGTGGTAAAATTTAAAATACTTCATTAAGTAGTTAATCTATTTTAAAAAAAGCCAATATGCAATAAAAAAATTTTGAAAAATCTAACACTTATACATTATAATGTGCACTTTTAAAATTTAATTAAATTTTATTTAATTTAAAAGAAATAATCAAAACAAAAACATCTTAAAAATATTATCTTAGGAATGACATAAAATAATTACTTTCAAGAAGCGTCACTATCTCCCCAGCTTTCCAAGTAAATTTGATCAATTTAATGATATTTATGATAAATTCATCACAAGCTTTTTCAGGACTATAGCCTAAAATAATAGAAATACATATAGGAACTTGTAATACCATGTTCCCACTCATCTCATTTAGACAGTTTTACTCATTGAGGACGCTAATGTGGAAATTTTATATAAATGAGCTCATTATATATAAATCAAATGATTTAAGGCGAAATATGTCAAATCTAAACCTTAAAAATAAATTTCCCACTAGGCAAATTAACAATTAATTAAAATATATAAACAAACAAGCTATTGCATATGCATAAATCAGCTTATATCGATGGAAACGATGAAATCTTAATTTATTAACATAAGTAGTTTTAGCAGTGGAAGTGGAAACGTGACATAAGGTTTAGCAATAAGCTGCAATAATTAATGAATGGAAATACCATTATTATAATACGAAAATAAACATGGATTTAAATATCATACACAAGTTGTGAAAAATTTGAAACACTTCAAATAAAAACTGTATAAAAATATTCATCAGATAATATTAATAATAACAATAAGAAAAATATTATGCCGAAAGGATTGAGACTTTCTCAGCTAACTAATATCATATATGTGGCTTATAGAAAGATGAA